TTAATTGTAGTTTAGGATTTGGGTGGAAAGACTGTTTCAGTTCTGGGGTTTTACTCTCCTATCAGGCCAGCTGCAGGCCCAGACGGGCCCCTGTTGGAAGGAAGTCAGCCCTCCTCCCCCCAAGGAGGAAGGGCCCTCCTGTCTGTGGTCGGGCAGCATTGTACTTGCTGGATTCCAAGCTGTCAGTCTCACGGCAGCACTCCCAGGACGCTTAGGCTGTAGATTGTTTTGTTAGGTTTCTCCTACAATTAATTTGGAAATTACCCAGCTGCCCACAGCCTCTCCCAGGTGTTCTGTAAACTACGGGTCTGTTCCTGCAGCCTGGGCCTTGGTGGGACCAATGGTGGTGGAGCTGGGGGGGTAAGGTTTGGGTGACAGAAGGCACTGGCTGCCATGGTAGGGCTCATTTTAAGCAACAGTCAGTCCCCTTCAGCTTTAGCACTTACCATCCTACTCTGTAGAATCAGAAGCAACCAGATCCAACACACTTCACAGACATTACCTTTAAGCTTCACAGCTTGAAGAGATAAGTCAGGGGCATCTGATCCACCCCACTCAGAGACCCAAAGAGAGTGGATTTCCCTGGAGCTCTGGTCAAGATCAACAGGCCAGTCCTCCGATTCCCATATCCAGGAAGGAAAAATCCTCAGACATCTGATTCATTTTGCTGTAGACTTTCCTACGTGGGTTGAGTCCCTCCCATGCCAAGGTCACGTGACCTTGAGCTTATTCTCTCCTCTTGGGACCTCTGTGGCCTCTTCTGAAAAAATGCAGCAGAAACCTGCTGCTTCCTAAGACTGTTGTGAGGACCCGAAGGATGACATATGTGGAAGTGCTTGGAACACTCTGAACACAGTCACTCTTTGATAATGTCAGGATTACCAATAGTCAGCCCTGCCCCCGCAGAGCCACTTGAAACTGGGGAACAACAATGGCATGAGAGAGTCTTGGACAGGTTCTAAGATACTAGCTCATGGCACAACCATAGAAAGTTACCTTCCCTGGCCTGTGGTTTCTCCTTCTATAAAATGAGGGTGGGACTAGACAACCTTTCAGCTGCAAGTTTATAAGAATAGCAAAGGAAATCTCAAAGGGAATAAACAAGGACTCAGTTCCTCCCCTCCCCCCCTTCCCATAAAGGTCACCTTCTGTGTCAGTTAGGATGCATTTGGCTGCAAGTAACAGAAAAGCCCAAGGAAAAGCAGCTTAAACTTGGATGATATTTCTTATTTCCAGCAATAGGTGCCTAAAGCTATAATGAATCATTCTGGCATTAGTTCAACAAAGCAGTGACATCATCAGACACCTAGATTCTTCCCATCTTTCTGCTCTGCCATCCTTGGCAGGTTGGTTTGTTCTCTTAGGCTGACACCCTCCAGGTGCAATGTGGCTGCCACACTTCCAGGAGTCACACTCAAACAACATTCAGAGAAAGAAAAGGACTGTTTATCTTCCCCTGTCTCTTTTTTAAGAACAAAGACCTGTTTCTCAGAAGCCATCAGCACACTTTTCTGGATATCTCATTAGCTTGGAAAGTATCCTGTAGCCATTTCTGAGTAATTTCTGGCAAGAGTGATGGAATTATCACCATGGTTACCTTAGACAAGTCCGACATTGAATCCATGGGTACTCCAAGGGGTAAGTCTTCCCCTAAAACATATAACCAACTGGACCCTGGACAAAATCAGGATCTATGAGCAAAGAAGGGGGAAGATAGCTGGGTAAATGACTGTGTCTGGTACACCTTATTCTTGAATATGGCAGAAAGAGGGTGTATTGTTTGTTTTATTTCTGTCCAGAATTTCCACTGTATGGTTGTCCTCAACATGCTCCATTTGATTGCTCTCAGCTCCACCCTCAAGACCCCTGACAATCCCCACGATAGGATATTATTCTTTGTTTGAGCACCATTGCAGAGAAAATTTGGGCAGGCCACACTTCGCATAAGGTTGAATAGTTGTATGAAACTTTGATGAAAATTTAGAGTAAAAGCAAAGTGTTACATGGGAGGGAGAAATTTTGAAAATGCTCATATTAAACATAATTTTGCCATAGTGTAAGAAACCTTTCCCAGGACTGCTCATGGACATGCCATGCTCCTACTCTCAGTCCCTGGTCCTGAGGTTCAGACCTCTGTGAGAGAGTGACATGATCTGTTGATGTTTGAGCTGCATCACACATTGGCTACTGGCAGGAAAATGTCTGAGGGAAGCAGAAGAGGGAGAAGGGAGCCCTGTCAGGAGGCTGGTACCTTGATTGATGAGAGAGATAATGGAGGCTCCTATTGGACTGGTAGCCTTAGAAGTCCCTAGGTGGTATGGGGCTAAGAGGTAATGGTCAGAACAAATTCAAGGTGACAGGAACACATAGGGGTGTCTAGGGAACAGCAAGGATGCATTGGCTGGAACCTAGAGGTGCAGGAAGGGTAGCTATGTGAGGAGTGGCTGTGAAGGGGGTTGGCATAGGAATCATAGAGGGTCCTGAGTGCCAGGTGAGGAGTTTGGGCTTTCGGCTGTAGACATCAAGAAGTCTTTCCCTGAAGAACTAAAGTCTGGCATCAGGAAGTGAAGCTGGTGGTGGTGGGGTGCAGAGTGGGGAGGCCCTGGCTGGCTGCTGGGAAGGGTAGTGCTGCGAGTTAGGCCCTATGAGGCTGTGGTTCTCACACTTTATCTCTGATTGCTGAGTGTCTCCATGCTTGAAAAACCATGGGGCTTGGCTCTGCCCACACTCCAGGGAGAAGCCGCTTCATGTTCTCAGATACCAAGATAAGCCTGGGCTCTACACCAGGGCTGAGATCCGCCCTGATTCTGGCTTCCCGGTCTCTTCCTCACCCTGGGAGGGGCTTATAGTTGATCCCTGGGCCTCCCAGACTATGTGCTTCTGCACCTGGTTAACCCTGGGATAAGCTGGAAATCTGAGCCTTGGCTCACAGAAGAGGAGTTGTGGGGCTGGCAGAGGGGCACAGGGAATTCTGTAGGGAGCAGGTTTCCTCTCCTGAGGTAGATTAGTGAAGGCTATTCTAGGAACTCTGCAAAGTCTGGCTTTGGCCTCAGCTAGGAAGATGCTGGAGAGAGGGCAGGGATGGGGAGAGACCAGGCACCAAACTCATTAAGGGTCTCCTATCCATCCTGACCCCACCTGTCTGCCCCATTTTTTCTTTGGTTCAGTTTTTAACTTAGGTCATTGCTCAGTTTAGGCTGAGAAGCACCAGTCATACTGCTTTCCTTCTAGGTAGTTCTAAGCTATTATTTAACCAGTCCCAGCCCAGTTTACCCGTTCATCCAATGGAGGCCCAAACAGGGAAATCTTCCAAGGTGCACTCCTCCCCAACTCCCAGCTCACACTTTTAACACACCCCCATCTTCACATTGCCTTTTATTAAGATGATAATCAAAGGCAATCTCCCTTGGGGGAGGCATAGGTTCTAGTCCAGCTTGGACACTTACAGCTGTGAGATCTTGAGTAAGTCACATGCCCTTTCTTTAGCTCCTTGGAAGCTCTATACACACCCACGGTATTCCTATTATTGAGAACTCATATGATCACTGAGATGAGAGTCCTGGTTCTCCCAATGAGTTGGTATGTGATCCTGGGTTCTGGCCTCATTCCTCAGTCTGGGCTCCTGCCCCATTCCTCAATCTGGACTCCTGCCCCATTCTTTGGGAGACATGCCCTGTCTGAACTGCTTTCCATCAGGGCATTTTTTGCTCAGTTACCAGGAGTCAGCTCTTCTCAGGAACAGAATGAGCATGGAAACCAGATTCTCCTGAAAGTTGTGTGTTTGAGGCAGGACATGATTCATTAGAGTGTCCAGGATCTTGGGCTGACCAAGGGGCACTTAGAATGTTCTAGTAGAGGATCCCTTGGCCAGAATGAACTCAGAGATAGGGACCCCTTCCTGCTGGCCACTGTGTCCCAAGAAGAGAGCCTTTTTCCTCCAAAACCCCCAACTACCCGAAATTTGGGGCTGGAACTGAGGTATCAGAGGCCAAGTTTATTCCATACTTGGGCAATGACTGCTGCTTAGGGAGGGTACAGAGACCAGAACCCAAGGTCTCCAAAGTGCCTCAGAAGCCTGGGTTCTTGCTCTGGCTCCAACTGGCACCTCAGCTTTCAAGATGCTTTCAGGTATACCTTTGTTGAATGCCATGTCACAGTCACCCATATGGCTGGGAACATGAGGTGAGATGTATTCTAGGGCTAGATTCCAAGACGCAGAAAATACACCCAAGGGAGGAGACGAAATGCTTCACTCGGACCAACTTCTCCCCTTGCAGCCCAGCACTCTCCTCTGTGCAGCCAGAGCCTCACAATAGCACTGGATCACTGGTTGGGGACTTTGGTCAGAAAACAGCAGGCTCCTGGAAGGTAGTCTGAGATCGTTGATCTCAACAACTTAACACATGTTTTTTCATTTCTCTAAATATCTGCCTCTTTACCTAGGCATATGAATCACCTGAGGGTCTTGCTGAAATGCAGGTTCTGGTCCAGTAGATCTGGGGTATGGCCTGAGATTCTGCATTTCTAGTGAGCTTCCACGGGATGCCCATGCAGCTGGTCTAAGGCCCACACTTGGAGTGGCAAGGCCTCAGGGCCTCAGCCTCTTATGTAAAATAGCAGGAAGGGTGTCCTGGCCCTGCCTCCGGGATTCATATGAACAAAAACAGAGAACTTCAAGAATGTGAGAGTAAAAGAGACCTGCCATCTAGTTTTGTAGATGGTGAAAATGAGGCCTACTCAGTGCAGGAAGGGACTTGTTCAAGATCTTACAGGATTTCAGTGAAAAAGTTGAGACTCAGGTCTCCTGCGTAGGAAAAACAAAAACAAAAACTAGAAAACATACTCACCGAGGTGTTTGCTGTGCTTTCTCTGGGAAATCTATGGATTCCTTTGATTTCTTTCTTTCTAACTTGTGTTATTATTATTTTTACAATGAAGATGTACCAATTTTGTAATAAGAAAAAACTTAATTTTAATAAAAGAAAATCCTCACAAAGTTCTTAGTAAATGAGATTATGTTTATGAGCCAGCGGGGTAAACTGTAACTATATACATTAGCTTCATGTCATGGGTTTGTAATTCAGCTGAAACCGTCCCGAATTTATTTCAACGACATCACCCTTACTCCTCTGGGCACACGAATCACGGAGATGTGAAGGAAGGCCAAAGACGGTTACCATCTACAAGCGCCGCCAGCAGCTTCCTGCCCCCCTTTACCTCTGCTGTCTGGACACTTCCCCCAAACGCTGGCCGCAGGAATCTTTCCCCTTAAATTGAGGGAAAAAGTTCCCTAATCCGTTTTCGTAGTAAACGACCTCAGGCCAAGTCTGCTTTTGTTGCTGGTTTCCTAAGCTTAATTGCAAGCAAAGTTAATTTGAAAGAAAATAAATGTTACAGCTCTGGGGCGAATTCTAACGAGCCTTGGGCAATTAGGGAAGAACGCATCTAATTACCCACAGCCCGGGGGCGCCTGCACACGACGCTGGGGTGCAGGGCCCAGAGAGGGGCAAACGATTTTTCTAGTTTCATGCATAGGAAGAAGAGGAAAAAAATAAAGAAACGCGCCTCCCGATTCTGAGCTCCCAGATGGGGGAACCGAGAGGTTGTGTTCCACTGTTTGGGGATTCATAGAGTTGGCATGTTCCAAGATGCTGCAGTGAAATGTTCTCAAGATTAGAGTCCTGAGGACTGCAGGGTCGGCCCGCTCACTTGCCAGGCTGTGGTTGAAGCCGGAGCCGCGCTCACTCGCCTGCGCAGCACCCATTCTAGGCAGGCCGGGTGGCCCGCGAGCTTCGGATGTGGCCCGAAAGAGGCCGAGAAGGGCTGACTCTGGAGCTCTGGAGCGTTTCCCTGTCTTCTCCAGGCTGCCTCTGCACACACCCAGTTCCCTCCCTCAAGGCGTCCTCTTTCTCCAGGCACAGACCCTCTCTTTGGACAAAATCGCACCTGAGGTCCTAGTCGACAAATTGGGCGGAGGGTGCCGAGTCGCATGCACTTTCCCACCCCAACCTTCCCGCTCCCGGAGCTTTACCCCCACGCTCCCCAGGCTTTGGGATAAGGCTACGCTTTAAAATTTTAAAGCCCTCCTGTGCCCAGCACTTTATAGTTCACAAGCGCTTTTCACCTCTCTTGTCCCCTTTAGCTTAAGGAGGACACTCCGTGGCAGGAGTCACAAATTCCCCTTCACAAACGTGGACACTGGAGGAAAAGGGACTCCTCCAGTCGACTTGGTAGTTAAAAAAGAGACAAAAGGTCAACTACCGCACTAACTGGGCATATAGACCGCCCTTTCCCAGCCCAAATATGGCTCCTGGGCCCTTGCTAGTCCAGTACTAAACCCCTGAGAGAGGGCTCTCAATTTCTGGCCACTACCAATTAGGCAAGGCATCTTGACTTCTGGGCTGGGAGAGCCAGACTGTCTAGCATGCCCATGGAGAACCTTTGAATTTAACACCTGCAAGGGTCTATATGGAGACGAGAGGGGCCCAATACCTACACTTTTGCAAGGACGCAGGGCTGGATGTGGAATCTGGACCCAGACAGCAAGGCCAGTTCTCCAGAGACCTCCTGCCTCCAGATGGTCATTTACCCACCACTGAAGTCAGGAAAGACCAGCATCTAGACCCGTAGGGTCCAGTACGGTAGCCATCAGCCACATACTGCTATTGAGCACTTGGCATGTGGCTAGTCCAAATGTAGATGAGTTGTGAGTGTAAATGCACTCCAGATTTTGAAGATTTAGTATGAAAAAGGTAAAATATCTCAACAAATTTTTATATTGATTATATGTTGAAATGATAGTTTGGCTATATTGGCTTAAATACAATATATTAGTTAATCTCAACTGTTTATTAATGTGGCTACTAGAAAATTTTAAATTACACGTGTAGTTTCCATTCTGGACAGTACTCATTTAGACAAATACCCGTCTGGACTGAATCACATTCGCATGCCTTTGTGAACAAGAGAGCACAATTCCCAAGATTAAAAATAAAAATTACCACTGGTTTTCAGTCTTTCTCACGCAACCCCCACCCCTTCGCTAGCAAGTTAACTACTCAGAAAGGTGCAGAGTTTCTCTTGCCAGAACTCACTTGATCAAAGATTTTTTATTAAAACAGTTCATCTGAACACTCAGGTTTATCTGAGAGCTGCATACCGAGCCTCTGAAGTATTTAACCCTGGAAATTTTGGTTCCAGAATAAAAACTTAACAAGGTATCTTAAGAGAAAGGTGGGAATGCAGTTGAGTTTTCTCTGCTTTGGGTCAGCTTGATGTTTAAAACGAACGGATACAAAACAAAGTTAAAAATCCAGTTTCTTTCTAAAGCTTACTTCACTGACGGACCCAGTTAATTTTTCTCTTTCCTTTTTGTACTGCAGAGACTGCCAGGGATGGTAGAGCCACCTCAACAAGCCGAAACCAAAGGGCTGCCCTGAGTCCTGTCGTCTCTTTGAATTTTAGTTTTCCAATTTGGTGCAGGGTCACTTACTGAAATGAAAGCGTGGACAATGGACAAATGTATTTTTACCTGTCTCATTGGAAAACCCAATTTATGACCTAGCATAACAGCTGCCGAATGATCAGCACATCATGCTCAAAAGGTTCAAGAAATTATAATATAATTGCTGCCTGGAACCAATCCAGAGACTTCAGGGCAGGAGCTTGTCCTAAGCTCTGTTCCAGTTCTTGGGAATAGGGTCAGGCCCTGGGTGGCCCACCGATGCTGCCAGATTCGCAGGGCAGCATCCACGATGACGCAGCCCTTAAAGGCCATATGGCGTCGAATCCTGCAGCCCTCTTGTATGGCAGATGAAGAGACTGGGGATGTGGGCGATGGGATTAGGTCACACTCTGGAGCTGAGGCACAGTCTCCAGACTAAGAGCCAGGTCTGCAGTTCTCAAAGGCAGGGAAAACCAGCCCCAGGTCAAGAGAAGCAGAACCCCCCCCCCCCTTTTTTTTAAAGGAGGGGGCTACTTCTCTTGCAAACTCATCTTCCTCACCTTAAGGAAGGCGCTATTGGAGCCTTTGCTGTAGTAATCAAAGGCGCAAGAAGCAGAACCGTGTAAAAGGCCCGGCCGAGTTTCTTGCAATACGGGGATGAGTGAAGACATGGTGGTGATTCTCCACAGTTCAGACCTAGACTCTGGTGTACGCACTACGCTGCGCCCCCATTATCGCCAAGTACCCTCACCAGTAGAATGTGAAAGGCATGTCCTTTGGAGCTTCGCCTTACTGAGGGTCCTTTATCCCAGTCCGTGGGCCCTCGCTGCCTCTCCCCACATCCTCCAATTTCCAAAGCGGACCGGTGTGTACGCGGTGCGCTGGGAGGCTATGTATGCCTCTCCTGCCCTCTCTGTCCCTTCCACGTGGCTCTCAAATCCTCTCTTCAGTCCTGTTCTCAGGTCTCAGGGAAACTTAGTTCATGTGGAGAGCCGAGATATCTATGAATTTTCGACCGAAAGCTCGGCTCACATGGCGGACACATATCGATCCACCCCGCCAGGGTAGGCAGTCGCATGGCGAGCATGATAGGCGCCTCCACTGCCGGCTCCGAGCTGCCCCCCAGGATTGTAGCAAGGCCCCAGCGCTCCAAACTGGCCGGGCGATGTGCGCCCATAGAAGTCCACTGCGGTCTCAACGCCACCACTGCTGCCACCCGCGGGGGGCGAGGCGGGCCCCGCCAGCCGGCCAGCCGCTGCGAAGAGGGCACTGCCTGCGCCCTGCGGGTACGCGCCATCGGGGCCTGCGTAGGCGGCCGCGTAGGCAGAGGGGTTGGTAGGTCGGGCCCCCGCGCAGCCTGCAGGCTGGTAGCCTGTGGTGGCTGCAGAGGCGCTGGCCGAGGCAAAGGCGCAGGAACCCGCGGGCCCCGACGACGCGGGGCCCAGTTCTGGACTGAGTGGCCGTTCAGGCACCAGGCCGAAGACGCGGCACGGTCCTGGCGACGCAGCGGGGTAGTAGACAGGAGGCGGCGCGGTAAGCGTCGGCGGGGCATAGCCTGCGTAGACGGCGCCGGGGTAAGACGGGCGCGCAGCGGGCACTGCTCCCGGGAAGATGGCGGCAGCGGCGGCGGCGGCGGCAGCGGCGGCGGCAGCCGCCGCGTCGTGCATGTAGGCTGGGTAAGTGGAGAGGTCCGAGCGCTTGAAGCGCTTACGGCGGCGCAGGAAGCTGCCGCTCTCGAACATGTCCTCGGCGTTGGGGTCGAGCGCCCAGTAGTTGCCCTTGCCTGGACGGCCAGCCTCGCGCGGGATCTTGAGGAAGCAGTCGTTGAGCGTCAGGTTGTGGCGGATGCTGTTCTGCCACTTTTTGGGGTTGTCGCGGTAGAAGGGGAAACGCTCCGTAATGAACTTGTAGATGCCGCCTAGCGTGAGGCGGCGCTCAGGCGCGTGCGCAATGGCCATGGCAATGAGCGCAATGTAGCTGTAGGGTGGCTTTCCGCGCTGCAGGGGGCGCTTCCGCCGACGCCCACCGGTGCCGCGACCCGTGGCCTCCGTTGGGACCCCGGTCGCCGCCTCACTGCGCTCCTCCTTCACGGCCGCCAGCACCTCCGTCTGAGGCGGCGGCGGCGGCGGCCGGCTCTCAGCCGTCATGGCGCAGCCGTCCCGCGTCCTGGGCGTCCCCGCCGCCCGCTACTGTCGAGGGGCGGGGGCGGGTCTCGGAGGCTGCGGGGCCGGGCTGCTGGCCAAAGGAGTGGGCCCTGGACCCCTCTGCGGAGAGCTCTGGGAGTCCTTGCGGGCTGGCACTCGGAGCACAGCTTCTCCAGGGGTGCGCTGGAGTCTTGGCGCTCTCGGTTTCCGGGCTGAATCGGGGCAGACGGAGGCTCAGGAGTGTCCCGCCCACCGACGGCTCTGCTCGTGTTCTGCAGCTCGAGGCCAGGAGCCGGCAGCGGTGTCGGGAGCGGGACTAGGCCCTAGTCGCGGTCTGAAGGGCCCTTTGCGCGCTGGTGCCAGGCGGTCAAGGGGCCCGGAAACGGTCTAGGGCTGGGGCGCCTGCAGCTGGTCTGTGCCTCCCGCTGACCTGGGGCTAACCGTCGTCGAGTCCTGCGCCCAGAGGAAGCTGCGGGCCGGAAGGCCTGAAGCGAGGGCAGTTAGTGCAGACTTGAGGCACTCCGGTGGGGGCTGCCTAGACCGCGCCTGTGCGGCCCAGCCGGTGGAGGGTAAAGAGGCGAGCTGCAGGCGCAGCGCGGCGACTGTTCCTCTCCGCAGCTTTGGCCTCCGGCCGCCGAGACCGCAGGCGAGGCGCTCCCTTGCACACACCCGGACGGCTCCTCCCTCCACCGGCTTCTCTCCTTAAAGGCGCCAGGAAGCTTGGGGCGGCGCCCCGTCCCCGCCCGCCCCCCGACCGCCCGCCCCCTGGGCCCGCGCGCACCTCTGCAGGTGGGAGCAGCGGTGGAGGCGCGGCGGGAGCCCCACAACGTCAGAGCTGGGAGGGCTCTCGGAGACCGCCCGGGGACGGCCTCCCTACGCGCCGACGGGGAGACTGAGGCCGGGAGAGGCCGGGAACCGTCTCGGGAGACCTCGGCGCCGGAACTCAGAGCTTCTGGACTTTACCAGCCTCTGCAGAGGGCTGGGGCCCGCAGTGAAAGGACAGGCTCGCTTCATTTTTTATTGTCCAGAGAGGGTGAGAATTGGCGGAGGGGGCGCTTGGTTCTTGTGGGGCAGGGGATGGGGAAGGGAGACCTTCCAGGTGGCTGGCTCTTAAGATATTTCAAGGATGATTTTCAAACTCCAGTCAGGGCTGCCCGTCCAGTCCCTCATCTTTCAGACGGGGATTCCAAGGCCCCATAGAGGAGGTGACTTGCCCTGGCCTCACCGCGACTTTGCCGGCTAGCGGAGTCTCACACTTGCGTCTCTGTTAGGACTGCTCTTTGCCCCCTCTGTGCCTGAGGCAGCCACTTTCTCTTTTTGAGCCCCAGGTTCCTCGACTGCACGGAGGGTTTGCACCTCAAGAGACCTTCCGTTATCGACATTTAGGGAAAGGCCACCCCACCCCCACCATCTGTCTTTGGGTGACTCAGGACCCCTCTATATGACGGAAAGTGGCACACAGCTTAAAGAGGATGAAGGCTAGGCTTCTGTCCTCTCGTAGTAACCTCCTCCTCCAGTTCACCCAGGCCAGGGAGGGTTCCGCGTGGCTCCCAGGACCCCCGGGGGCCTTCCCGCAGAGGGGCGCGAGGGCTGCGAGAGGCTGGGGGAGGTGAGGGCGCTCCAGGTGGGCACGTCTCCCGGGGGAAAGGACGGGCAGGGGGGACCCGTTTGCTTCGCGGGTGTCCGGTTTCTGAGTTCGTTTCCGGCCATCCCCCAGGGCGGGATCTCCCGCCTCAAGCGAGAGAGACTCCCAGCTGCGGCCGCCCCATTAGCCTGGGTTCTCTTTGTGGTCTTGCACAGGGACACCTCGGGCCCGTCCTTTGTCCCAAGCGGGGCCTCAATTTTCTCCTCTGTGAATTGGGGGCGGGAGGGCATGTGCAGACCTCGGAGGAGGCTCCTTCTGCCCTTAGGAATCCGGGCCTTAGCGCCGACTCCAGAGATTCCAGCCGGGGTGCAGCTTTCCGCGGGGCTGTGGGTGTAGGGCGTGGCGGAGCGAGTCTCCAGAGCGCGGGCGACACGTCCTCCAGGGGTTTTAGTCGCGTCCTTCGTGGCGGTGAGCTCTCTGTGGGTTGAGCCCCGCTGAGCATTGGGCACGTACCTTCGGAAGAAAGAGGCAGAGAGCCCCGATCCCCGCTTGGCGGATCCGGGTTTGTAAACAGAAGCGCGGTTTGCATGTAGACCTTCCTCAGCGGATGGGCCCTCGAACGACTGGAGAGTGCTTTTTCACTCGTTCAGCAAAACTCTCAGTTTCCTTCTAACAAAGTAACGAAAATGCGAAAATCCAGATTTCGATGTTACATATTTTTTGTTGTAAAATGGGGAAAAAAGTTTAAAACAATTTTATTTTAACCAGATCACATCATAACAATATTTCAGTACTGAATTTTGTGGTTCTGTTTTTAATGTTCTATTTTTAATTTTGGACCACTATCCTAACGTGTTTCCATAAATCAAATAATGTGATTCTGTAATTCTAAGCGTCCATGACCAGAAGCCTAAGCTCTTTAACTGTGATTATATTCCTATGACTTTAAGCTTCTGGTCAAATGTAAAAGTGTAGTCCTCATAATGAGATGCTGGGACTAAGATTTTGTGCCTGAAAATATGATGCTACTACTGGGAGCTGCGACTTCCTTAGTTTTTAGATATTTTCATAACTCTGAAGTATATATTACTTAATTTGAATTCCTGCCTAAGAATGTCTGATTAGAAGATTTGGGTCCTATAAATCCACACCTCTATTCTTTCTTAATTCCAAAATGTTGGTAGTACTGGATCCAAAGAATTACCAAATGTCAGTACTGCATCCACTATTCTGTAACTCAAAAACTCTAATTCTGATAATTCTTATAATATTTGTGACCGTATGCTTTAATGGTTGGTCCTATGACTTTATGAGTCTTTACTTTTAAGCCCCAATGGCTATAGTTAGAAGCCTCGTGTCTCAGGATATCTTGATCCTCAAAGTTTTGTGTCTGTGAGCCCATTCTTCTAAAATCCTGACCCCTTTTTCTCGGATTTTGCTGCTACAGAGCCACACCTGTGTGTGCATCAGACCAAGTGTTAGCATCCTGAGATTAGAATTCCTAAGGTCAAGATTTTCATGATCAAAGGAGCCTTAAGATTCTATTCCATAGACGTTTTATTTTAATAATACATTTCAAAATTTTGTGCTTTGAAGATTCCAAAAACCCATGATGCAAAATTTGAATTAAATGAGTTTACTGTTTGGATGAAAACTTATACAAATTGATCCCCCTTGATGCCTGGGCATTTTTCCCCTTTTCTCTGGTCAAGTCCTCCCTCTTCTCTGGTGCAGTGCTCCCTAACATTTGTGGGGGCAGCAGACATCACTGACAACCATTTGGAAGCTTGAAGATCATCCTCCTAGTTTAGCAGGGGTGGGTTGGTGCCGATGTGGGCGGCTGCTGGGTGATTTCCATCTCCTTTGCACCTGCTTCCAGCCCTGCGTGTATTCCTCTTTTGGGAAAACCCCAAAGGCCATTTTACATTCAGTTTTTGGGGGGCCGGCCGGGGGGGGGGGTGGGATGCTGGTGGTTTGTAGGAGACCTTGCAGCTCTTCTCCCAACAACTACTTTCCCCAGTTTTAAAGTGTCCTTGGAGGGTTTGTAAATAAAAAGGAGGGGATCCACAGAGTTATGGAAAATTCCTCCATATCTCTTGACCCAAATGATGCAGATGCAAAGGTAACTAGCTCTTCTCCCTAAGGAAATCTTGGAAATACAAGCCGGAAGGAAACTAGGCCCAGATTGCCAAAGGGATTGCTTAAAGTCTTGCAGAGGTGGTAGTGAGCTGCAAGGGAAACTTGCATCTTGGGCTCCTTATCTCCTGGGCCCACAGCCTCTGTGTCTTTCCCTGAGCTCTCAGAGCCTCAGTTGTGCTTACTGGCCTGGACTGGGTCACTCTCCTAAGCAAATGACAATGGAAACTTCAGGTCCTGATGCTTGCAAATCAGATCCAAGAATCTTGGGACCTTAGGAATACAGTGACCTCTGTTTGGTTTACTCTGGGACAATCAGTCAGGGTCAGCAGGCTGTATGGCTTCAGAGAACATCAGAACAAGACACTGCCACAAAGGGGGCCCGTGTCACACTCATTACTGGCCCAGAGGACTTGAGCCATCTGCTACTCTTTCAGACCTCAGTTTCCCCATCTGTGAAGTGGGACATCTCCTACCTGTTGCCCTTCTTCCGGAGAAAAGAGAGGATGGAGTAGGACGCGTCACTGACCCGTGATTGTTTTCTCCGCCTTTTAAATTGTTTTCAGGGCAAAACTTCAATCTGGGGGGAAAAAAAGCTGCTGGGGGAAAGTCAAGTCGTTCTCACTTATGGACGGAGATAAGACGCACTCCTTGAAGAAGCAGCGGTTGATTAAAGTTCAACGTTTTCGGCAGTTTAGCCCAGGGTGTTTAGACTTCCAGGCCCCTTGGGTGTGGTTTCTTTCCACGCATAGCGCGGCTCAGGGACCCCTGGAGCTGGGTCGGGGCAACCGGACTCTGAGCCATTGGCTCACTTAAACTCCGTGAACGCAGAATTATAGTCACTGCCGGAGACAGATTGGAGGAACTGGGGCCCAGAGAGGGGTGCCCTCTGCTTCCCGCCACCCTGCCTAGCTAGCACTGCCAGCAGCCTTCCGACTCACCCCCACGAAGCGCCTCGCGTCGTTCTTTGCTCCCAATCCCTGCTCTACAACCTTTTCCCAACCCTGCCCGCCAGTCCCCGTGGCGGGGAGCTCAGGAGCCAACTCGGACATCCAGGAGCTCAGCCGTGGCGGCGAATAGGGCAAGCTGGCTCCGAGAGCGCGCGGACTTGGCCCACCGCGCGCGCGAGTCTGGGGCAAAGTCCAGCCTGAGCTCTGCCTCCACCTTGCCCGCGCCCCACTCTCTCCGGCGCTCAGCGCGCGTTCCCCGCCAGGACCGAGGAACTCTAGGCGCGATCCTCGTAGGCTCAGAAGGAGCCGGCCGCCGGGCGGGAGAGAGGTCGGCGTTGGCGGTGGACTCTCCTGGGAAAGCGGAGGACCCGGTCTGAGATGGCAATGAGAACAACAGCCTGGGTCTTCTCAGCCTGGCCGGCGGGCGCACGTCCTTAGATTCTGGCACCGTGGGCGCAGGAGCAGCGCTCTGGGATCGTCGGGCGTCCGGGTTTGTTAGGTTTTTCCGTGCTCTATGTACGGCTTTGGGACTCGGAGAAGCCCGCAATTGGCACGTAAAATTATGGATGTTTATGTTGGGAGATAGAGTTCCTGGTTTGCAAGACAATCTCAAAAGGGCTGTTGATTACTCCCCTTTCCCCCTCAAAGGGGAAATGCACTAGACAGCATTCTAATTCAACCACCTGAGGCACACAGGAAGAGACCGGGACCTGTTCCCCCTCTTCAAGCCAGGCTTGTCCTAGAACCGAGGCCTCCGATTGGGATCCTTGATGTCCCCTGCCGCCTGGCACTTGAGTTCATCAGGATGGTTTGCTGATAGCTGGGTCCAGGCCCCCCGGCTGGGGTGGTTAGAGCTTGGCACGGTGCCTCAGGCAGGCCCCTCTGAGAACCCAATACCGCTGGCTGGCTGGTTGCTCAGGGCCATGGTCTGGGGAACTGGAAGACAGTGTATCCCGGAAGCATGTGCAGGTGGTCCAACTCTCCTCTGGCCTCT